CTGGGTGCCCGAGTCCCATTTAAAAAACTCTTTGTATCCGATAAACCTTTCATAACATGAAATGTAACATGAAAAAATACTGGATATCTGATGCTAGAACATTTTTACTGCATATGAATGTTGTTGGTACGTTAACTTTGAAATGACTGAAGTACTCGAGGTGATTATCTTTTTACTTCTGCTTTTAAGTAGAACTCCAGGAATAAACAATCCATCCAAAAGAGCATTCAACATTGCGTTTGGCTTCAAATGTCAAAATGAAGGTTGCACCGATTACAGGTTTTTTCAGTATCGAGTAGAATACCGGAAGTCTCATTAAGCAAACCAGGTGGCATGTAATGTCTCCCACCTGGCTTCCTGATTAGCATGGATACAGTCTCCATGCTCCCTTGTTACCAGGTCATGATGAATCGTGGAGCTGGTTTTCTGGCCATTTAGGAGGCCGGGGGGCTGGTAATGACTCGCCACCTGGCTTCCTGATTGGCCAACTTCTCGACCAGTCTGAAAAGCCAGGCAGCAAGTCATTACACGATGCCGGTTTCCTGATTGGCCGGGTCCATCCACCTTCGTCACCAGATGACGAGGGAGCATGAAGCCAGCTTTCTGGCCAATCAGGAAGCTGGGGGGCGGGTAATGACTCGCCGGCCAGCTTCCCGACCAATCAGGAAGATAGGCGGCGAGTCATTATATGCTGCCCGGCTTTCTGATTGGCCGGGAAGCTGGCTCTATGCTCCCTCATCACCAAGTGAGGAGGCAGCATGTAGTCGGCTTCCCGGCCAATCAGGAAGCCAGGCAGCATGTAATGACTCGCTGCCCGGCTTCCTAAAACCAGAGGTTCAGGTATCAGGCTAGGCATCGGAGCATTTGGGCGAGTACGAGCACTCTCCCAAATACTCGGTATTGGTATCGGTGCATCCCTAGTAAAAAGGATTTCACTAAAAGGCTATGTTTACTTTTCTAACCATGTTTCCCCACTTACATGATCTGTGGAGTTGTGGTGACGTCCCCGGACTTATAGTTAATTCATTCTTCCTCCTGTCCCTAAACTGAAAGTTCATGCTTCAGTACAGACTGGGACTGGGGGTGGGGAAGAGTCTGCAGGAGCATCCACTGACATGCTTTTGCAGGCTCAAACATTTTCATTTTTTCTTTGTGTGCATTTATTGATTTGCAAATGCTAGACTATGCCTTTCATTAGATTCACTCTTTGTATGAAGAGCTAATTGTATTGTATGTTAATTCCCCCTGGTCTGCAGTCATCTCCATCACTGTCCCCCCTGTGGACAACATTTGCTATCACTCTTGGTATGTCAAAGTTCTGGTGAGTGCTTCAAGCTGAAGAGGGTTGGGTAAGCAGCACTGATGTACCCGTAGTGGTCCATATGCAGGTCAGGATGGCTTTATGGTGTTGGCTGCCAGGAATGAACTATTGCGTAGGACAGATGCCAGGGTTGGGGGAGATGAATTCTACACAACAGCAGCTGCATCAAACCTGAAAGATTGAATTGTATAACCAAGTATTGTGACCTGCCTGAATGTTGGAGTGGGTAGTTGCGCATCATCATTTTTGTCTTCTCAGACTTGTAAAAGATTTCCAAAGTGACAAGTTGGGGTCATCACACAGTCACTCAGAATACCCATTAATGGTAGTCAGAACTGATCCAATAATGGGATTTTCAATCTCATAGACTGGCATTTAAATAGTTGACCTCTCCATTGAGACTGCTGGGTCCTTGGTTGCCATGCTGATGTGTTGACTTAAATTGTTGTGCGAGTCTAAGGGCTTGTTCACACCAAGCGCGGAGCAGATCCAGAGCAGGTGCAGACCGGATCAAAACTGCGTCCAATGTATTCCTATGGTATTTTGAGCTCCAGTTCACATCGCAGCGTGCAGATCCAGAGCAGGTGAAAAAACTGCGGCAAGCCCTATTTTACCTGCTCTGGAACGCATCAAAAATGCATGCAAAAACGCATGCAAGTGCTTGAAAGCCCAAAACAAAAATCGGCCCGGAACGCATCAAAAATGCGGCACAACCCACTGCACTGCATGTGCAGAAACCTGACCGGATCTGCTCTGCATTTGGTGTGAACAAGGCCTTAAACTGGAACAAGTATAGAGATAAAAAAGTCTTAACTTTCTCTAACTTATTTACACTGTGTTTGTTCTGGGTCTGTGACTCAAAAGTATAGCCAAAGCCAGGATTTAGCATTTTTAAATGGAGAGCAATGGCAGCTCCATAGTCGGCATGCTGCATGTAATCGTATGTGATACGGTTACATACGGTTAGGAATGAATCGCTGTCCCTGGAAGCTTTGATCATGCATCCAGGGATAGTGATTGATTCCTAACCACTTGCAATTTCCTGCAGCGGGAATCCCTAATCACACCTAAAATAAAGGTGTGAAAGGAGCCTTAAAGTAACTGTTTTGTTAGACATTAAAATGGGGGGTAAAGTTCTTCTTTAATCCTTTATCTGTAGCTTTCATAAAATAGCTGCAGATCCTGCCAGGAAGGTCCTTGTTCAGTAACTTCCTGTTATAGAATGGCAACTTTCTTAGGCACAGTCCACCCTTGTCAGCAAGCTGATCCAGAGCAATGGTGTGAAGCCAACATTGGAGTGAGTCCATGTGGGTAGAGGAGATCAGTAAGCATGGAAATGGGTGATGGGGAATAGTATTGTATGGGGGGGGAAAAAAACCTTAGCACTTCTGGAAGACAGTACTTTTTTTAGTTGGATGGGTCAATATCCCTATGAGGTTATTAATTGTCCCCGCTGAGATTTCCCTTCACTTCCTGTCCTGGAGATGCAACAGGAAATAACAACTCTCGTGACTTCCCAAATTAGACAGTTGTTACCTAAACTTTTGACCTTGTTGGGTGATTTACCTTCCCCTCTTTGATGACCGCTCCAAAACGTCGGATTTCTCTCAGTTTCTGTCTTGGGGATATATGGCCACCAGGACAAATGGAGGGGGTGAATCTCCCCGGCTGCATCACGCAGTTTAGCCTTTTCATACTTTTATATTAGCATTTACCTGCTGATGCAAAAAAAAATACAGGACTTTGCATCTCTTCAGTTATCTAAACCTCGGCCCATGCCTTATCACAGCACTGGGTGGTCTTTCAGTAATTGATTGTGGTATCGGTAGGTAAATAGGATTTTATTGGACACAAGCGCGGTGGTCCTTAACATTCCACGGACACAATCTTCTTGACCCAGTGCTCTGAATAGGCTGGGATTATACTGATGGTCCAGGTTGACACAGCGCTTGTATGTGAATCCCATAAATAGACCTTTCACTGTTTGTCGAGCTGACACAGCTAAACAAACAGACACTTCATTCATTGTAGTGTGTGGTCTGCCCAGATCCTCCTTTAAAGAAGAACTCCAGTTTAATTATAAATCAGAGCTTTGTTTGTGCTTGGACTATTAAATACTCCCAATTAAAGGAGAACTTTCACCAAATGTCTTTGTTTGTTAGGACCCCTCATTTAATTGCATGCTTCATGTGTGTTAATGGATTAGTGAACCTTCACAGTGAAGAAATGCAAAATAAAGGGTTTTGTGGGCATAAAAGGAACCAGGTTTTCAGATATTTAAAGAGACAGTCAGTTACTGAACATGGCCACATGGTGGTGCTGTTGCACTCCGTATGATCTCTCTCCAACCTTATATTAGCCGTGCAGTCTTGGCATGGTGTGTGTAATTGTTTAGATTGACATTCTTTCTAATATTGGACAAGATGGGATATGCAGATGGCATGTTTCATTGGCCGTGCTGTACATCCCGGTTCCTGGGCGTATTTTGGCATCCAAGTTTAGGGCTCAGTTAAAGACGTATGTTATTCTTTCAATAATGTCATTAAATAGTCATCTTAGGGCAAAGTCACACTTTTTCTGCTATGTTGCAGGACATTAGTGTACATTGTGTTAAGGCAGCCCAGCCAATGTACCACAATGGCCCAAAAATGTACCCGCATCACTTTTCTTATGAAATGTGTGGCATGTGTGACATAGTACAACTGCAAAACTATATGATGTCAGCCTAGGTGACCATGTTGGCATAGATGGGGAGCATATTCCTCTCACTCCTGGAATGGACAAGCTTGTTTTAAAGGGAAAAGCTCTTCATTCTTGTATGATCACATGGCAATGCTTTCCATGTGCTCCTACGAGAATGAAGAGATTCTCTTTGAAACGAGCTTGTTGGTGCACCGGCGCTATATCTTATCCATATTAGCACAGGGTCATTTTATTTATAAAAGTATACCTGTAATAGAAGAGGCTGGATACTTATTTTCCAGCAGCCTGCTTGTTTAAACACCTTCTCTTCACTTCTTCCTGACCACTGCAAGTATACCAAACTTCTGGGTTTGGGGAATATCTGTGCCCCAAGGGAGGCAAGTCTGGACCCTATCAGACCTGTTGCAGGAGAGCAGTGAAGAGGCAGCATGTCAAGTATTCGACAGGCCGGTTGGGCCAAAAACCTACTGCTCCTACGTGCAGTGGTTCCTCCCTATTTGTATGCGGTGAGGTCACCAATCTGAGTTCTGACACCAGCCAACATTGAGTATTATGGTGGTGGAGGCTGCAGCCATTGAAGTCAATGGCACTGTAGCCATGCCCCCTGCCCATAGTGCACTTGCCACATCAATGCCTGCATTCCGGTCCAGTGCGATCTGCAAAAATGCTCCAAGTGCTATTTTTACAGATCGCACTGGACCAGAATGTAGGCACTGATGTGCCATGCGTTCTGGTGGGGGGGGCGTTGCTGTGGTGCCATTGACTTCAATACACCGACACACCCCTCAACGCAGGAAGCCGGCTGCAATGCGATAGTGCGTTCCAGAGGCTGGCTGTTCTGGAACGCACTGTTTATGTGCTGAACCGACCCTAAGTATTGCTGTCCTTTCTCTTTTTTTTATTGCTGCTTTGTATGTTTTTGTTCTTCTTTCTCATATTTTTTAATGATTTCCCTCTGATGTTTTATTCCCTCCAGAATGTGGTAAAATCCGAGGACACGTCCGAGTGGAACATACTGCGGGATGACTTTATGATGGGTGCGTCCATGAAGGACTGGGACAAGAACAGCGAGGACGGTGAGGCGGGTGCACCAGCGGGCGAGGAATACAGCGGAAGCGATTCGGACAGATAGCCAAGTTCAGCGGAAGGGCTAAAGATAATTCCTTATCTCTCGAGCCGGCTGGGATAAACTCTTCTTTCTGAGAATACACAGCATTTTTCACATTTCACAAATACCTTTTTTTTTATATTTATATGTAAAGAAACCGGCGGGAAAAAAAAGCGATGGGAACTTTTGTTCTCCTGGCCGCGGAAAGCCTTTAATCCAGAAATATTTTCCAAAATGTCTAATTTTTCAACCTATTTTTCCAAAACATCTTGTGCAGTCAAAACAGTGGCACCTGCCCAGTTCGGCGAGGGGAAGCGCCAGAGGTCACAAACTTTTGCGTCTGTCACCCTGATGGATATCCTGGCTGAGAGCTCCACCACGTCCCGCTCCTCGGGGGCCCCCTTCCCTGACAGGAGCACGGCTGTCTCTTCCGGCCCGTCACCTTGTGTGGTGTTTAGAATCTCTCCTCTTGCTGGCAGGGACGACAGACCCTGGCTGAGCTTGAAACGGATTCCAGCGCCGCTTTTGAAAACGATTTCTGCTCGAAAATAACTACTTGGCTTTCACTTCTGTCTCTCCAAGGTTAGCGGGAGCAGAAAACAGTTTGAGGATTCTTTATCAAAGGGCACAGCGTAGCCCCTTCCAAAATTCATACCTTTTATGGGGGGGGGGGGGGGGTGGGGGGATAGGGAGGGGAGAGGTGTCGGAGGATGGTG